TTGCGATCGCTTTCTGCTCGTCTCAAGTTCCGTATGAATGACGCAAACAGAATCGGTAATGTTCCTGGTAAAACAACCAAAGTTTACTTTGGTTCTACACAATCGTGCGCTCGGTCGTAGGCAATGTGAAGGGTGTTAAAATGTCTGCTGTGTCGTGCTGCTAACCCCGATGATGGATTCCATTCTTGGCCACGGCAACCGCATTCCCACGTGTGTGGAAAGCAAGAACTTACTTTTGCTTGAATACAACAAACTCGTTGGCGCTTAATCATGTGATTTTATGACGCAAGATACAATATTCGCACCATTAGGTCGAGCTTTTGATGGGTGATTCCTAAAGAAGATATAAGGGTTTCCCCTCTTCTAGGGTTATTTATTTCTATCTGAGGAATCCACGTACTAACGGGCATTGCTTTATGTGCCAAGCCCCGTGCTCACTCGCCCTCGAATACCGCCGCCGCCGTTTTGTCTGTTCTTCTCGCGTACTTGCTAACTCAACACGTTGTTCATTTTTCATGTTTCTCTCGGAATAATTTTGGAGCTTTATTTCACGGAATTTATCGAGGTTATGTGCGGAAATTCTCATTGTTGTCAGATTCTGTCTCCGTGCAGAATCGTCGCTACGGTGTTGTCCCACTCGTAACTACCAGTTTAATTAGGCAGCTCGTAAATACTTTTCTTTGCACTTGGTCCCCTGTGCGTGATCATGACGTGACCAGTCGTGGCCTCATCGAGGCGAAGCTTTTTTAATTATTACTTGGGCCACGTCGCCCACAGCGCCATTTAAAGCGTCCTTTCGGACTTTCTGGCATTTGTGTTGGAATCGTTGCCATCAGCGGGGTTCGCAAGAGAAGTGAACATTACTGTTTGCGACGTGGTTGTAGATCACCCCAGCATTTCATGAAAATCAGGGTATACGACGACCCAATCCCCAGCGACTGTTGAGAAGAAACATGCGCATATGTTCCGAGTAAACTGCCATATCCCAACATTTCCGAAATCATTGTGTGTTCGGCAGTACTATTTCGTTCATTTTCAGAATACGTGAAGCATATGCTTAAAACAGTCAGATTCATGTGAAGTCTGCTGTTCAAGAAAGCGCAATTCTGTCGGGTCATTTAGATTATTCGCAGATGCAGGCGTAGCTTGCGCAGTAACGCGCAATCAATTTGGTGAATTGGTAGCATCCCAATTTCATTTGTGATACTTCGGCACAGATATGTTTTCTATCCCGGAGTCTATGTCTATATTTGTAACCACGTTAGCACCACGTAGCATGTTTTTCCTATTTCTCGGTGTACGCTACGGAAACAATTCTGACAGCAAATCTTCCGTTCTGACGGGAGTCTGCCTATACTAAGCTGAATTATGAAATCTTTTTGCAGCCTCGATAACTCTCACTAGTTACGAAGCCTCTCACTTTGTATTTTGAGAAGTTTGCGTCATGCAATGGAGGAGCAACGCCCAACGTACGCGAAAGTGCGGGTGCAGAAAAAGGAGACAAGTGGTGCTGGAGAGGGAGTGTCCTTGCCGTGACGTCACATAGGCGCGACCGCAGCGACGCCAGTGTTCGTTCTCGGGGCTAATTCCCGCAGGTGCTGTTCTTGCCACTGCCGTGGTTGTTTTCATCACTGCAGCTACTACTACTACTACTACTACTACTCGCAATGTTACTATTCCTGCAGGTATTGGCGTTGCTACTACTACTTTGCACTGTCACTGCTGCAAATGCTACTACTGCCGCTTACTACCACTACTAGTGATTATGCTATCGTGCTTACTGTAGCCAGTAGTATTTATCCTCCTCAGACGAATTCCACTACGCTCCAAGTTACTGTTCTTGCAGGTTCAACCGCTGATATTACTGCTAAAGCTACTATAGGACAATGACCGATACTACGACTACTGTTTAGGCTGCAGTTCCCACTTTGTTGGTAGGAAGCGCAGCCGCTATTACACAGAACACACAACGCAAGCGCTTAACTTCAGCTAAACGTTTATTGCTAACGTCAGAGTTTATAAAGGGGGTGAAACAGAAAAAATAATAATAAAAGGCAAACCAACAAAAAGCACACGTGCCACTCCGTACATTACTTATCCGTTATTATCTATCACCTCATCAAAAAACAAAAAACAAAACAAAGTTCTTTCCGCGTAAGCGAGATAGAGGGTGCACTAACACACTCAGAATCATCAAGTTTATTGAGTACCACTTTACGCTCTACTACTACTACTACTACTACTACTACTACTACTACTACTACTACTACTACTACTACTACGACTGCTGCTACTATTACTACTACTACTACTACTGCTACTACTACTACTACGACTGCTGCTACTACTACTATTACTACTGCTTCTACTACGACTACTACTACTACTACTACTACTACTACTACTACTACTACTACTACTAGTACTACTACTACTACGACTGCTATTACAACAACTACTACTACGACTACTACTACTGCCACTACTACTACTAGTAGTACTACTACTATTAGCACTGCTATTACTACTACTACTCTATCTTTCTCTCCCCCATCCCTCTCCCATGCGCAGGGTAGCAAACCGGCTGCCTATAGGCTGGTTAACCTCCCTGCCGTTCTTTTCCCCCTATTTTCCTTCCTTCTACGCCTACTACTACTACTACGACCACCACAACCACAACATCTATACCCTGCAATTCAGAGGTATTTCCGGCGATCATCATGTTTACGAACGGCTACACAACGGAGCAGCGACGAATGCAGACATAGACAAAACAAAGCGATCCCGCCGTGCAATCGTCTCAAGGCCGCCACGCGCTCCGACGGCCTGCTAGACAAATTAAAAGCCTGATATACCGTCGAGGCTTCGAAGGTCCCGTTGGCGGACACGGGACGGTGGCCGTGGCCCCCTCTCGCGAAAAAAGCGGCACACGCGAGTTCGGGGAGCGGGGCGCGCCCGGGTCCCGACCACGGGCCCGATTTAGAGCCGCCGACGGGGTGCGCTCCGGTCACGTGTACGCATTCCACGCCATGACGTCACCAGATCGCGGGCGCGAAAAAATTTTTAGCTCCGTCCTGTTTTTAGAAGAGCGCCGCGAAAGCACTCGCACGGGGCAGAGCATCGTCATCCTCTTCCAGCCTCGCCCTCTATTTACGTTGAGAAAGCATCTGCTCTCCTTCTCTACATCTTTCACTGAAGGCCGTCTACACTCTCTTTCAATCTCGTGAGTAAGGGAAGGAAAAGGGGTGAAACATCCTGAAAAGGGGGAGAAGGAAAGAAGGTGAGCCGTTTGAGAGAGTGAAAAGGGGGGATAGATACGGCTGCAGGATGTCTTTACAGAGGGAAGAGCTGTTTATGTTATGTTCATTCCTTCTTTTTCTGCCCTCTCTACAACCCTCTCTACAAGGATAACGGAGCTACAACATCAGGCTAGTTTTCACTTACCCGGTGTTGTTTGGGGGAGAGACCCAAACCTCTTCGGATCCGAAAACCTCTCTAGTTCGCTCTTGTCCTCCGCTATCGGCCCCCTCTGAGCCGACGTCTTGAACTTAAGTTGCATCGACCAAGAACAAAACAGTAAAGAACGAAGCAAACAACAGCGAAAAGGGGGGCTTCCCGCCAGTCGTCGAAGCCAACCGCGCCGCAGTTTTTCGTTTAAGCCGCCGCGGTGCGGTTCCCTTCAGGTGTAAACGGGACAGTCCCAGCGAGTGAGTTGTCGTAACTCATCCGTCGTCTCGCACTATTGGACGCCTAATCTTTGTTCGTGAGATGACGTGCGTGCGTCAGGTCGATATTTAAAATAGGCATAGGGTTTTTTGTTTGTTTTTTTATCCTGCAACAAGGGTTTTTTGTTTGTTTTTTTATCCTGCAACAAGAGCCGCCACCTCGCCGAGCGTGAGTTCAAATCTGCTCGGCCGTATCTTTCACGAAGTGTTCCCGAAAACTATACACGGGGTTCCATTTGCGACGGATGTTGTGTGCAGCAGAGCCGCCAACGTGAATCAGCCCAATCTGTGAGCCATCCTTGCCCGTGAAGATTTGTCCCCGTGGAGCGTTGCTTTCACATAGATACATGTTCGTTTCGGGGAGCCTTGGTAACCGCAACCGTGACGGAGCAAGCCAGATGCTGATTATTTGTCGACGTGAGTCCTCTTCTGCTGACACAATCCTCGACTGCAGTGCGTCGGATTGATCTGCCCGAAGCGACGCCACGGTGCTTTTGTGCTCATCGAGTGTCAGTGCTCCTACGTATCAAAAAGCGACCCTCAGAAGCGACAAGAAGCGTCAAAAGCGTGAGTTCATCCTGCGTGCGCGGGACTCGTGGATCGTGCGTGCAGTTGTTGTCCTTAACAGCGGTGTAACTTTGCCTATACGCCTTTCGATCTTCTCAAAGTGCTTGTTTTACGGGTGTGAAGCCATCTGCCATGAGTTCAACGCTGAACGCAAGCTCTGAAGTTGCAAGAATTCGCCTCGTGATTGAAAAGCCTCCTCAAATCGCAAGTTGAAGGCAACATTCGTCTTCGCTTGAAGCCGTCGTCGGATGGGACTGTCAAGTACACCCAACCAGAACTGCGTTTGCCGAATAGTGCCAAAGTTCTTACGACTGCTTGCTTTGAACGCCGACTCGTCGACTTCGTAGGTACCTGTTGTTACGACAGTGGCACACAGAGTGTGACAAACAAGAGGTAGCGGAAGCGATTAGTGCAGCCTCCGGTGACGTCACTTCGTGCTTCTTTCTGCAATCTGGCAACGTGAGTGGTTTGCCGTTGTCGAGATAACACATCGAGTCCTACGCTTCCAGTATCTGTGTGCTCTCTGTTCAGCTGACAGTTCGGCTATTTAAGAAATGACGTATGCGCTTTCCCGAACACGACTCTTACATCTGGTCGTCTTCTGACTTTCTCGAGCAAACTATCACGCGTGCATGACGTCACACTCGTTTTTTTTTCGTTATTAATTTTCAGTTTGGTTCCCTCTAGTGCAGCCTTGTGCACCTGACGACTTTGAAGTCTATCGGTTCGCGAAACGTGTGAATCAAGCAGAAGCGAGGTTACTTGATGTCTGAAAACACCTGATTCAAACAGCAAGACTGATTTATACCCAGTGGTTCTGATTCCCGTCCCAGCGCGAGGTTTGTCGTCTGCTCGTTGGACAACACAAAAGCGTCGTCTGCACTCGCGACGCCTCTTCCTCCTCTCCACTGCACCCAACAGTTAGTGAGACGGCGTGCCGTGTGCAAGCGAAGCCACTGCGGTGTCTTGCGTCGACTTGAAATCCGTCCAAGAAGCCTCCTGGCGCTCTTGTGCGCGTTTTCGTCATCCGGGTCACGGTCACTGGATTTTTCGCCCGTCCAGGTTACGGAGTGCGCAGCGGTGTTGCTGCAGTACGGCGGTTGGTCAGCTCAGTGTTGTGTGACCTGAAGGCTCGCCATTCGGATAACGTCTGCCGGCGTTGGTGTGCGACCGAGCGTCTGCTAACGAGATTCGGTGGAAGAAGGATTTGCGCTTTCGTTCCGATTCAAGGTGGGTGCCATGGCAGCTTCCGGGCTTTCCGCGTGCAATGTTTGCTTTATGCCGACGTACTGTCACCTATCATTCCAGCAGCTCTCTTCGTTTTAAATATTTTCTTTACGTTGCCATCATTCGGTTTTAAAAAGCAGTTCTTCTGTAGATACATGAAAGGCGTACTGTTTTATCACTGATGCCAGTGAAGCGTAATCTGCATTTTCGCCATTGTAGCTTGTCTCGCGTTGCTACGCACGTAGACGCGGGTTCGATTCCCGTGTCTTAGGCCGCATAACGATGGCAGTGGGATGCGAGACGACTCCCGAGCAGCTGTGATGAGGTGCACGTTAAGCTATCCGTAGGGAGGTGTCGCAGTCAATTCGCAATCACCACTAGGTCGTACTGTATAAGCATAACGTGGTTTTTCAGACGTAGAACCTCAGATTTCGTTACTTCATTTGCGCGAGAGAGAAATGTTTAGAATAGAGTGGTTAACAATTTTGAGTACTTAGTACTCAACTATGGGAGAGCAGTAAGCCGTCCGTGGGCCATACCGGAATGTTTATTTAGAAACAGTGTTCCGAGCGAGGCCCGGTATCACCGTAAGGTTGGAGTGTTCCCTAGTCCAGGAACCCTGTGGCCTCGACTGCCCTCTTGGCCCTGGTCCACTAATTGATTTGTGAGCTATATTTTTCTTAATTCCGTCATTAGAGATGATAAAGCGAGCCCCCCATAGATTCGAACCATAGATAGTTCTTTTCTCTATGAAGACATTTGAGCGTATAACTGACGCGGTACTAATAGTTTCGATTGAAACGCAAAAATGCAGGGCTGAGTATCGCGCCTGCTTTCGTTGCCAGCGTTTACAGTTCGGGTCACGTCGGCGAAATTTTGTCTCAAACACTTGCAACAGAGCCAACCTTATCTTTGCAGGCCGAATTCGCTGCGACATGACGCATTTATATAAAATAAAGGGTTACTCGAGAGTGGTCGTGATAATTAAAGAGAAAAGAGAAAACAGCGTCGTGCTCCTATTTTTGTGCATTGTACTTAACGTTTTGTTTTATGCTTTCAGTGACGGCACGTGACCACTGTGCCGTTGCGTCACAGGGTGAACGTCCGTAAACACCGCATTCTATTTCCATAGGTTTAATCTTTTTAATTCCGTAGTGTAGCGACACTTTTTCTTCTTTTTATCTCTGTATCCGTTCCTATATCTCGGGCATTCTGATGAAATCTTTTTTTTTCTCGGTTCAATTTCAGTGGTAGTTCTTTGGGCGAGCTGTGTTTACGATTAATGTAAAACGTTTGGGAGCACCAAATAGCTTACTTACCATATCTTCATTGCTATTTTGTATGCCTCCGTTCCTTATCCTTGCGTAAGCTTTTTTTTTCTTGGCGGTAAAGCGCTTCGACCTTCGGTAGGTGTATCGAATGAAAATGATTTGCCGACTGCACGGGATAAACGTGCGTCAACGTACCCTGAAAAAAAAAAACCCGTAATTTTCTCGCTATTATTGTAAGGTTGCGGAAATAACGCGGGTGTCACGGTTGATGATATTTGCAAGTTGTTAACGAGGTCGTGCGCTGGCACATCAGCCAATGGCTGTCGGAAACGGGCCTGCAGGTCTCCCTATTTCTTTCTGTGACAACATCGTCGTCTCTGGCGCCATTCTTAGCAACGCTGTAACCATATGTTACCCTTGATGTAACATCATCGTGCGAATTAGAGATGGATGTACTGACACCGATTTAACGGCTTCGTTTTTCGTTGCAATCGATTAATTACATGCTTTGTTTTTGTTTTTTTGTTGGTCATTATTGGCCTTGTGATGAGTGCTGATATTCAAGCTACATACAACAAGTCACGATATTTCTATTCCTGTTTCGCGTGTTTGTGTGCCTCTTGGAATAGTTAGCACTAACCCGATTAGCGTAGACGCAATACGAGTCTTTTCCTACGGCACTATTAAATTATCGTATAAAACGAGAAACGCTTGTCTCTGAAGTGATCATAACGTCAGCTTATGCAGAGCCTTATAAAGATGCTTGATGGAGAAGCCCTTCCCCTAATCCTGCACTGCAGGAACGGACACAAGTGCCCGCCTAATTTGTTTTGTCGGGGCTCGTCCACGAAACTACGGCGCAGCAGTAGTCAGTTCCCGTTCGGGTATCAGAAGTTGTATCGAACTTTCATTTCGACCGCGTCGAAACATTGCCGAGCCTGAGCTTGAGGTGCATGTGTGTAAGTCTCTATTCATTTGTTTGTATATTTATTTACTTATTTATTTGTTCATTTAAAGTGCCTATCTTCACATTATATATCGCAGCAGGGAGAGTGCAGTGCATGTAATCAGGTACACAAAAATTCATTCAAAATTAAAGCATGAAAAAAGAGCATCATTCGAACTAACACACAGTGGGTGGTGGCCGAGTATTTCAATATCTGCTAATGCGTACAAAGATATGCCACCATGAAAAGGAATTTCACTATTTCTAATGGTCGATGTCGTCTTTGAGAAGCATAGCTGTGTGGTTGAGAGTACAGCGGTCTGGTTATCCATGTTTTTGAGAGATTAACGCTGCGAAGACTTTTGCATTCGAGGAGAAAAACAATGCCGAGTGCGACATTGAATATTCTTTTAAAATTTCATTCAGCTACCGGAGAGGTTGGTGCCTTTATGGGGGGGGGGGGGGGGCAATTTTCGGAGTGCCGGAACGTTCGGCCTTCCAGCCAGATAGCGACGAAGGTTTGTGCTAAGGTTTCTGCGGGAAACCGGATTGGCAAAATAAGGGCTTTTAGCTTGTGCGTACACTTCTTTTAGCTTGTATACGTACGCTCCCGTGCTTGAGTGTGTGCGTGTTTTTTTTTTCACCTTTCCCATTTTCTTTATTTCTCCTTGCATTTATATACCCCTTACCTCTTCCGCAGTGCAGAGGTATCAAACCGGAAATTTTCTTCCGGTTAACCTATCTGCCTTTCACTTAACCTTTCTCTCTCTCTCTCTCTCTCTCATAAAAGGGGGAGGTACGAAACGTGTCGAAATATGTCGTATAAGACTTACGAACGTGGTATGTGTCAACTTGTATGTACATTCGTCTCTTTACCTAGTTACCTGTCTGTAAATTCATATAATTTCCATTAGTGTGTGAACTCTGTCGACAAACACGATGTCCTGTCGGCTTATCCATGAAACTAAAATTCCAAGTTGACGTATTGTGGACCATTAGCATCTAATAGTTTTGCAGGGACATCTTGCTATCAAACACATTGCAAACATGACTTGTAGGCACATTTTTTCTTTCCCCTTTTCACAGCTTGGTTCGCAAGCTGTACGACAGTTTTATGCAGATGATAGGAGTACGTCGTAACAAGTCCGGTATGCGCCATGTATAGGGTGGCCTGTTTCTTCCTTATAAGGGGTACAGGGGGTCTCGGCTGCTGGCCCGAAGGTCATGGTTTCGATCCCGGTGGTCACGTTTCGATGGAGGTTAAATTTTCGTATAGAGTGCCGTGTGCTGTGCTATTTCAGTGATTCCCGGAGCCCTCCACAGAGGCGTGCTTCGTAATTATGTTGATGGTTACACAAGGCAAATCCCACATATTATTATTATTATTATTATCATTATTATTATTATTATTATTATTATTATTATTATTATTATTATTATTATTATTCCTAGTAGTAGTAGTTATAGTTGTAGTAGTATAGAATTGCACATTTTAATCAATTATCCCAAAAGCTACTTCCCTCTACTTCAAGAAGCCGTTGAAGGACTCGTTCTTCGATTTTTCAAATGGCAGTAATGGGCTACTTTGAAGTGAAGTATGCTCTCTGATCCCTACTGATTATCAAACGATTTTAAAGATATCCTCTGCACAATCACAATTTTTTTTTTCATAATCCACAAGCGCGCTTTCCTCTGCTGCATATTAGCCCAACTAATGCCCCGCCGCGGTGGTCTAGTGGCTAAGGTACACGGCTGATGGCCCGCAGGTCGCGGGATCAAGTCCCGGCTGCGGCGGCTGCATTTCCGATGGAGGCGGAAATGCTGTAGGCCCGTGTGCTCATACTTGGGTGCACGTTAAAGAACCCCAGGTGGTCGAAATTTCCGAAGCCCTCCACTATACGGCGTCTCTCGTAATCGTATGGTGGTTTTGGGACGCTAAACTGCACGTCTCGTATTAGCCCAACTAATGGTAGGAACTTCTCCTGCTTCTCGTGGAGAGGAGGTCGTATAGTTTCACGTGGCTGAGCTTATCTATTCCGCTTGTTTACGTCAACAAAGCTGATCCCACACTTTTCGCGTCATAGCGCAAGTAAAGTGCCCTATTTGCTCAAGTAAAGGTGCCTGCTTTTGCTTGAGCTGACTACATCGCATGAAAGCTAGATTCACTACAATAAAAAAGTATTCATCATCATCATCATCATCAGCCTGACTACGTCCACTGCAGGACCAATGCCTCTCCCATGTTCCGCCAGTATTAGGTCGCACTTAATTCGCGATAGCGCAATGCAGGAGCGTAGCCGGAACTGTTTATTGGGGGTGTGGTGGTGGGGTGGAGGGAGTAATTTAAACATACTTCATGAGCGTTCGTTTCGCCCTTTTAGATGTGTACGTGTGTATGTACGCAAGCGAAATTGGAAAAAAAAATTGAGGGTTTAAACCCCTTCACCTACCCTAGCCGCCCCTTGTCTACGCCACTGGCTCTGTGGCCTGGAAGGAGGGGGGGGGGTGAACTTCAGCGTGAAAGCGTGAATCCTGGCTGGATTCTGCACCCTTGGCCTCTGCTGCGCGCTTTGATGACCTGGATTCTGTTCAAAAACCGCCCGGGGTGGAGAACATTGGGAGCGCAGCACTGGGTCAATGGCATGCAACGTGCAGCTGGCGTAAGCAAACTTCTTGTTCACCGGCCACGTGACTGCTTTGCCACCTCAAAAGCTTATCACGGTTAAACAGCATCTTGCGTAAAGCATTGGCGTAAATATTCTTTTTTTTTTCATTGAGGAAGCGTC